AAAAGAAAAAAGAAAAAAGAAAAAAGAAAAAAGAAAAAAGAAAAAAGAAAAAAGAAAAAAGAAAAAAGAAAAAAGAAAAAAGAAAAAAGAAAAAAAACAGACATTTGCATTCCAGAGAAAGACTAGACCTCAAAAGGTTTGGAGTGAGGAGTTTGTTTTAAAAATAAACAAAAACCAACTTAGTTGTCTTTACAACAGCAACAAAAACTAGCAGAAATGGTAACAGTGATGGAAAAAGAAAACACAGAATTTAAGTCTAAGGAAAAGCTATACTGCACACTATTTGAAAAGAAGTATGATATCTATAAAAATCAAACACTTCCTGGGGAAGTGGTCTAATATTTATTGCGCCTCTTTGTCCGAGCACCATTGCATTGTTTCAGCAGCAGCAGAGGGTGGTTCTGGCTGGCCTTTCGCTGACCTGCAGTATTTATATGCTGAAGCATTTGTCAAATTYATAAAAATCTAGCAGACATATTAATATGTAAAAGGAAGTAGATTTCCTTATCACAAGTGTCTCTTCCTGATATTGCTTCATCTCTTAAAAGAAAAGAAATAGTACCACACTCTACATAGACACTTTTAATAATCTCTTTGTATATACCAAAAAACCCTCTCTGCAAGGTTTCTGTGGGGAAGCACAGCAAATGAATGGCAGAGCTTTCGTTTTCAAATGTCAGGGCATTTGTTTTCAAAAGCACACCCTCACTAAAAATCATCTTTGGAAAATGAGAAACTAAAGAGTAGAACTCTAAATGAGTTCTAAAAGCAAAACACATGCAAGAAAAAATGGAGATGTGCACTTAATCACTTGTGCTGGAGTAAAAGGGAAGGCCCTCGGAGGGCAATGAAAATGAATCGCATTCAGTGCTTTATCTCAGGATAGAGTTAGCCAAAATCCCTCRTAGCATCGTTCCCAGTTCTTACACAGAGAACTTCTTACACAGTTCTTACGCAGAGAACAAGTATTGGACCCCCAACAAGGAGGCAGCTGTGCGTAAGTGCCTAAGGAAGGAGAAACTGTCCGATCAGCTGTAAAGTGCCTACTTTGTAACAAAGCACACCCGGTGCCTTTGGTCTGGCTCAGGAAGAAACGTTGTACCTCAGTAGCTAAGCATTAGCTCCTAGGGACSCCCTAACGCACCTGGCACTTCCCAGAACTACACCTTAGGTCCTGAAATACAACATATCAACGTGTTGCAAAGAGGCCGGCACAGGTGCCGAGTGGTTCCCGCCACACGGTGGGGAAGGAGGTGCTGCTGCTGCTGCTGGCATAACATTTATTTCCATGATGGCGGAGCACTTAAACAAACAAACAAACAAAAAACCCCTCTCTCTTGTGGAACCTGTCTGTAATAGCTTAGCTAGCTGGGAATCCATTGACATTGCTCCCTCTCCCTAAAGGAAAGGGAGGAAGCCAAATAAAAGATGGTGCTCATGTGTGGAACAGCATCCTGAGGAGTACCCTGAACAGAACGATGTGGTTATTGACCTGCTGCTCATTTCACCAAAATACACCAAGCAGGGACATGAGCACCAGTTTTATTTTCATCTTCATTTATTAGTCTGGTTAAAAGTCATCACCAAGGTTAAAAAGATGTGAATAACGATAAAATTAATAATTTACTATGAAGAGAGGGAAGAATTTTGTCATTCTAAAAGGACAGAGCAGGCAGGCTACGTGGTCTGCAAGACAGACATGTCTCTAGCACACAGACATTTCTCTACCAGAAAATTAACACTGTAATACCAAAAGAGCCACCAATTCTACACAGATTCCACTCCGATTCATCTAAATAGAGATTAACTTCAAAAATATTTGGCTATATTTTGTTTAAAAAAAAAAAGAAAAAAAAAACAAATGACAAGATTTAATGAAATGTTATCATAACAAATTTAAGAACCAAAGTTATATAATAAAAGACTGGTCAGAAACATTTCTATCTCTTGTGTGCTATTAATACATTAGCATTAAAGTTTTGGTACATTAAAAAAAAAAAAAAAAAAGAGAAAAAAAAAAAGAAATCTTGTTCTTCTTTATAGAGATTAAAGTTCTTACCATAGTAGTTTCTGCTCTGCTGGGATACAGAATGTAAGACATTTTCAGTTTTCTTAGTTGACAAGTTCTGGTCACTGTAAAATAAGCACATATGCTTGCTGAAGTCTTGAACAATTGATACCTGACCACAAACATTATGTATGTAATACTGCAAGCTTTAAAAAATATCAATTTTGCCTTTCTATGTGAAAAGTTGACCTGCCTAGTCATCATTCTATGACACTTTGCTAAACATGTGCTGTATGTGAGATAAGCTAGTGGGGTAATCCTCCAACACTTTTAACACAGCTTCCACGTGTGGCAGGCTGTGCTAAAACACCCAAGTCAGCTGAATTAAAAAAGATCTTGTCAAGCCGATTCCAGGGACTGGCAGCCCTACCCAGTGTAACAGCAAAATGTCTAAAGAACAGCACATAAGGGCTGACAAAATTCACCTTTTAGTATGTTACTCAATAAAGGCCAAAATTAACACAAAAATAATGCACTGCTTATGAGAAAGAACTCCCAACTGCACTTTCACATTCGATACAAGATGGAAGCATAAAAATGTTCTTAAGTGCTCTCTGTCAGAGAGCGACCACAAAAGCATGACAGTTTTTTTGTCTGAATGTGTTCTTTTAAGATTTTCTAAAGGYACAACTAGCACTGGGCATCCGATTTCATTTATCTGAAAAATTTCCCTTCCGTTTCCCCGAGCCTAAACTCCACAAAAGGATACCATGTAAACAGTACTCATGGTCTCCTATTTATCCTCAGTACCCCCTATGTTCAAAACAAAGGCATGTTTCAGCTCTAATGGTTTACATTGTGATTATCTCAAGGTTAAGCAGATGGCTGGATCTGACTATGGAGCTTAAGCTTTCCAAAAATGCAAAATTCTCATCAATATCTTAAGTACCTGAAAAGTGTTAGCTAACATTTTAGCTTGCTATCCTCCTAGTTGGACATTTAGCTACTCGTTATCACTGCCTGTCACAGCACACATCATTCCTCTCAGTTGTGAATGACCCCCGTCTTTCATTCACACCCTATTATATGCTTTTTCATTTAAATTTCTTTTCCTCAAATTCATGCTGGAAGGCTAGAGGAGCAGACTCAGATTTATCTTTCTAGTCTACTAAACCTTTCTGTTTTAATGAAGTAAGGAATGGACATCAGCAATATCAATCMAGATAAGGAGCTGACAAACACCCAGCTAGTTCCTGCCTTCTCCAGAGGGAAGGGGGTCATCTTAGCTCCTAAAAAGATACACAGTACCAATTTTATCATGAAGAATGTCTCTTATTGAAAAGACAGGAAAATACAAAAAATGCTGAAAGAACCAGGAAGAAAAGAGAAATAACCTAACAGAAAATAAATTTATAAATCTTCCACCTTCTAAAAACTTGCAAGAATTTCATTTATATTCTTTTATTTTTATGTGGTTGGAAGGAAACCAGCAGGTATTATCAGTTAACTTGTGCATATTTAATCATGCAACACCATTCTGAAAGTGAATGGTCCAAGAAATCACTGGTATTTTGATAAAAGATGCTTCTCCCCTGCAACTGGAAAACTATTTAAGCCATAGTGAAAGAAAATTCATAATGAGCTAAGCTGCTAAAACCTTCCATGTTCTCTCTCATACAATAGCATATAAGCAGAACTTGGCATGCCATAGGGCATTAAAAAAAAAAATACAGATGTCAAGTCTACAGAAAAAAAAAAAAAAAAAGTAGCAATTACTCCAAATTAGCATATTGAGCCCCTCAGCAGGATTTAGTAGTTCTGGTTCAGTGCCATAACAATGTTGGTCAATGCTTTCCAGACAGAACTAAACAGTGCTGCAGCCTCAGAGTGCAGGTGAAGTTAAAACAAGGTTATCTGCAGCTGTATTTCTAGATATGTTGCTGGCTTTCTACATGGAAAGAACACAAAGTTCCAAAAGCATGTTTTCTCAGCTGCAATTGAAACACCAGATGAAGATTAGAACAGCTTACTTTTCTGTTAAGACAAGCTATGAAGAGCATTAGCATTACCTGCAGGAAACACTTTCTTTAATGTTCCTGACATCTGCTGGGCTGATTCCCTCAATAACAGGAGAGTCCAGATTTGCAGATCCATTGCTGATATGATCACTGCTTTCATACCCCGATTCTGTCCTCTGCATTTGCCAGTTATCACCATGGATTTTTCTCTCTGTAAATCCTTTGCTTTTTTCAGCATTCCCTTTTCCMTCCGAATCCAAAGAACTTCGACTTCCTGTATCCTGTTTTGTTTCATCTTCGTATATAGTCATTAAACCTTTCTGGACTTGGTTCTCTTTTGGCCAGTGGTTAAAGCTCCGCTCTTTTTCATGCTTAGATTTACTGTTTAGATTTGTTTTATGTTTTGGGCTATGCTGCCTCTTCTCAGCCTCACTGAAAATACTGTCTACATTGAGCGTCTCCCGCATGGGTTTCCAGCCTTTACTTCTGCTTCTGCTGCTGCTGATACTTCCTTTGTCCCTTGAGTCTTGGCTGCTGTCTGTGTCATAGCCAGTGACACCATCAGTCCGGGTCCTGACAATCCCCTTCTCCCCAGCAGGAAAAGCTTCTGTTTTGYTTGATCCTAGCAGCTGTACAGAAAGCTTGGCTTGGTGAGCTGCACTGTCATGCTTATATGGTCCTTTTCCCTGGCTGCTGTATATCCGCTGATCAGGATATTGTCTAAGTCCATTTCCAACCGGAGGAGACCCTGACTTGAAATTGGAACGATCTTCCACAATCAAATCTTACAAAGAAAGAAAGAAAGAAAATCTCCATTAATTTTTATGTTAATTATTAAGTTCAATATCATACTACATATTTTCATTTATCTCCAACTTAAAAAAAAAAAAAGCTATAATGCCTTATGAAATTCTTAAAAGGAAAATAAAATAAGATAGCTAGTACTGATACTATAAACCTATTGAACACTTTGGTGCTCCAAACATATTTTCCAAGCTTACCTCTTTGTCTCCCAGATTCTTTTCTCGGGCCTCTGTCTGCATCTTTGCGTAAAGATGAGAAGCTTTTCATATCGGCCGCTTTCTGAGCACACTCTCTGGATATGTCCTTTAGCCTGTCTTTTTGATCACTGTAACTTAACTTAGCTGCAAAGAGAGTATTTCACTTGTCAAAATTCATTATGAAAAAAAATGATCAAATACAATTATAATCATGTATCAAAAAATTTKAATGTTTCTTAAAAAGGCTACAAAATTATATACCACAGATTGCTAACCCAATGCAAGGTATATGTTATAGATATAAGCAGGAATAAAGCCTAGCTTTTTTACTAAAGATAAAAGTCACTTAAATTGTAGGACTAAAAATAATGGTGTCTATGGCAATACCGGAGCGAAAGTGCATTCCTCAAATAGCTAATGATCACAGAGTSACACCATATGCGCCACAGGACCAAATCAACCTTTTTAACATATGTTTTAACTGACAATACACTTAGAAGGCATGGTAATGTTTGTGAAATGAACCAAAATCTCAAAAAGTGCTTTGGAACAGAAGTAAGATGTGATAGTTTTTTGAAAAATACAGATAGATAGATAGATAGATAGATAGGTAGATAGATGTAACAGAAAAGTTAATCTTCCATGACAAACCTTACCTAACCATTAGCTGCTATTCATAAATGCATAAAACCAAGTGTTAGAATTATTCTTTTAGAAATAATTCTGTTCTGAAGGTTAAGACACATCTAAAAAGCTATTCACTGAAATGACTTCAAAATAAGCCATGTATTTGGAGGAAAAACATAAAAGTAAAAAAAAAAGTACATACCCGGACCTCTACCGCCACTAGCCTGAATATGGCTCCTGCTGAATGCTGTATTATCTGGCTGAAGTTTTTTATTATTCTTTTGATTAGCAGGGTCTCCAATTCCATTCTCTTTCACATGGTCTGGTTTAGGAGCAGATTGCTTTTCAAATCCTATCAAAGGAAAATACATATTCAGAAATGAAATGCTTCCTAATTTAATTTAATTTTCCCAACATTTAAGTTCCAAAACATGAAAAGATTTTCGTATTTTTAATGGCAGACTGCAGTGGGATAACTTGAATTCCTTTGCAGTTTATTATGTTAGTAGTATGTCAAATCTAATTTGCTTTATTTATTTGTATGTAAATGTCAAAAACACAGGTAGAAACTATAATACCAAATAATTGACTTCTTACATGCTGATGCCTTCAATATAATAAATTAATATAATCTAAGAACTTTCCCACGGCATCCAGTTTCTCCTGAAGTTCTGAATTGGCATTTAGTGCCTGCGACTGTAGATATGCATATACTTACTCACATATCAATACTTTTACATATAAGATACAAATGTATTTTGCATTGTTTTACCTAAAATACCTATTTTACATATTTTTAAGTTTTTTTTTTTTTTAATATACAAGTACAGGCATAACATTTTAACCATTTTACAAGGAATTTTTAACAATGACTAAACAATCTACAACAGAATATAATTTCCCCTCTCATTGCCCATGGGACTCAAGTATTGTCCTATCAGATACAAAACAGACAACTCTCAGGTTAAATGTGCACACTAAACTTTTGAGACATTTTAGACAATTATTTTAAAAGGACATTTAAGAGATAAGCAGCTAAGGTGCTACTYCTCCTTTATAATTGACATTTTCTTATAAATATAATTGAGAGTGCATTGTTAATAAAGAAAAAAATTACCCAAGTCATCCCCATTTCCTCCTGCTGCTTTGTATTGAGAACAGTGAATAATCTGTTTCGGAGCATCTTCTGGAGATACAGCCGTGCCATCTGGGTTAGCATAAAATAGCAACAACGGCTGAAAGTGACATCGAATACACTTGGAAACCACATCCTTCCATTTTGTTCCAAGCTAAAACAAAAACAAAACAAACAAACAAACAAACAAAAAAAAAAAAAACCTCTATTTGCATCAAAGTCATTGAACCCAATTAAGGAAAAAAAAATTTAATAACTACAGCTACTGAATGCCTAATTCAAAAAACTACCTTAAAATTTAACACTATAGCATTCACGTTTATGTAACTTCTAGCAAGAAGCCAGCACCAGCGTTTAGACAGGTTAGCAATTAGAACACCAACACTATGAATCTAGTCATTGATGATCTTTTTTTTTTTCTTCTTTTTCCTAAAAGGGAATTCAAAAATAGACATGAGCTGTACAAACATTTTCAAATATCCAAAATTGGAGAACAGACTGTAAAGAGGTGCAATCGGTTCTAAAACTGGTTTGTAAAAACTGATTAATGACCCTGTGAGTGCAGGGGTTGGACTAGATGATCTCTAAAGGTCCCTTTCAACCTTAAGGATTCTATGATAACAAAGACTTATAAAAATAATTAAATTTATTGATTCAAGTCCAGTGTCAGAAGACTCCATTATAGAAAAGTAACAATTTGGCAACAGTAAAAGCAAAATTTACCTCTTTTACATTAGCGTCATCAAACAGCACCCACTTGCAACTCTTGGTGTGAAAGGCAAAGGCACAGTAATGTCGGCTTGTGTAGCAAATCATTCCCACAAGAAAGAGTTCACTATTTTTGGCATTTTCATCTGTAACCCTATAAAACAGCTGTAAAAAAAGATTATGTAATTTTATGTAATAAATGTTTATATTTCTGTAATTTTAAATATATGTAAAACACTTAGCATTGACATCTAGACTACCACTGACTGGAATTTCACCAAGGCTGTATTAAATATCCTCTTGCATTATCTAATTCTTCATTAATTAATTAAATAATGATTCTTACACTTATTAGGTCTGTTAAAATATTTCTATTCAAACAGTTAATAGGCCAAATCCATATTTCTCAAAAACAATTCTGCAAATTTCAAATTGAGCAATAAATCAATCCGAAATTTACCTACATTCATCTTTGTACTTAGGTCTCAGACTAGCACTACTTTTTTTCTCTCTCACAAAAACTACATCAGGAATTACACTATGAAGGACATCAGAAGCAGACAGTCTTTGAAGTTAAGTAATAATAATAAAAAATATAAAAAGAAGTTTAATGAAATTCTAGAATAAGCAGTTCTTTTAGTTTAGATACCCCAGGAAGATAAAGCTGCGTTGCCAGATTCCGCATAACCTCTTCTGTCAGGTCAGAGTGTTCTGAATCCCAGACTAAACCAATTGTGACAATCTCAGGGCAATTCATAAGAACACGACGAATTTTTATTTTTKGACCACAATTACTCTAGAAGAAAGAAAAAAAGGTAGAGGGTAAAAAACACTATGCAAAAAAAATAAAACTGGAAAATCAAAGTGGAGTTAGAGAAAAAAATATAAGTGAATATAAGTACAATATTAATCCAATGAAAGACTGATTTGTGAATCTGTCTCTCCTACAGGGTATATGAACGAAAGCAGTTTCACTCAGACACTATACCCATTTAGATTAATCCAAGACAACTAGTTATACGTTAGAGATGGCATGAAGAATAAAGTAAGGACCTAATACCCTGACTTTCTAACAGGTCCCATGCATTTACAATATAGACGTTATCCCTATTGGGAGCAAGAGAATAGGCGTGTAAGGGCTTTCTTACCCTAAGTCTGACTGCACTGAAGTATTCACAGGCAATCCTTTTAGGGGAATAATTTAAGCCTGATTTACTATCCTGAAAGAGTCTTCCTTGCATCTTATCCAAAGTAATGCAAAATCTTTAACTGTTGTTTACTTACAGGACACTTTCTGTAGTCATCGGAAGTATTTGCTGCTTGCAGCAGTTCTGCAAACATTTCTGGCTTGAGACGTTCATGCCTTTCCATCATTCTATCTACTTCATTACTAAAATAATAATAATAATAATAAAAAGTAAGTTCATTCCACTGTAGATCAACCTTAAGAATAAACAGATTTCAGGTAACTCTCACTATAGCTTGTGATTAAAAGAATCAGAAACAATACGAAAGAGCAGAAATGCATGTGGTCAAACTCTTACTTGCTTTTGAAATCAAAATGTTACCTTTGCAAAGAATTTCTATTTCTGCTGGTTTAAAAGTGCTTTAAGGTGATTCATTTTAACATTTGCAGCATTTGCTGGCCTATTTTGRTTATTACTGGGAAGGTATGCACACAAAAATGAGGTAGAAAGGAGATTAAAAGGGCTAATTACCATAGGGCTGTGGTAGAAATGTAACGCACAAACTCCGTAAAAGGCAACGGGTCTGACGATGCTCCGCAACTGCGACAGACACACTACAGAAGGAAAAGTCTGTTAGTTTTTATTTATTCATGACAGTGAAAATAATGTATCTATTAAAGCAATGAAATGACAGCCTGACCTGTTCATAAAGCGTCATAGCAAACTTCTGATGAGCAATACAGGACTTTGAAGTGCACATATCTGTTTCACTGTTTGGCACTAAGTGAAAATGAATCCTCTCAAGAATATTTTCCTAAATAGAAATAATAATATAAATATGAGAGAAGAAAACTGATGAAGACAAAATCCACAACCAATGCCACAGTCTAATACTGCAGTAACTGTACAACTGTTTACTTTTGCTTCAAGTGGTCACTTACAAGCTAAAGTCATATTTAATTCTGTCCCTGTTCACAATGAAGTGTGAATTCTTTGCCCGTAAAGGTTTCCAAACATTAGCAAAACAGCACTAAACAAAGTTACCCAGGTTTTCTTCCCGAGTTTGCTCTCCTTCAAAGAAAGTGAGTTTTCAAAGAAAAACGAAATAGAGTTGTTACAGTAAGACAGTATATTTATCATATTGCACACAATTCCTGAAAAATTATTTGGATCAAATCCTTAGAGTTAGGCTATCTGCAGCCGGATGAGTACAGCTGACAGAGGACTGGGAAAAGTTCAGAAATAGACATACTTACTCCCATCCCAAGTCTCTATTTAAACTATTTTTTTCCCAAAGAGTACTATGATTGTCATCAGTCTCACTACCTTAGCCAGCCAGCATAGCTAATTTTTCTCTTTTATCAAAAATGTCAGAGGTAGTTGCACAAAGTGGCCTGGCAAGGTAGGTAATTTAGGAAGCTCCTTTCTTCAGAGGTCCTGGTATATAGTCTGGTAAGATGGAGCACTGATCAGGGATGCTCTTTGGTAACTGCAGAAAATGGAATTCCTACTACAGGCTTACTAGAGAGTGAAGAAGAGTGACTAACCACAACAAAACATCTTTCAGTACATGAGGAGAGGGCCCTTAGAGCGGCATACTAAATACCCAAACTAATACAGCAGTTAGCACAAAGCTAACGTGGCTCTCCTGGTTGTCGCAAGGAGCTTCACTCACAAAGCACTCTGCTGCATCATCCATGAATCCCAGCTGGAAGCGCTGCTCATCCTTGAAACTTTCTGCCAGAGCATGTCTCATGTTATCTGATGGCAAGGCTTTCTCACGGCTGTGCTGAAACTGTGAAAAAATCGCCTAGGAAGAAATAGGGTTACTTAGTTGCATTAGACACCATTGCTGTGGTCAAACACATCAGTTATTATGTAGCATGTCCTAACAGCAAACGCATAGAACTTGTAGAAGTATGTCAGTTTCTCCCAAAGTCTCTGCAGTCATTGTCACTTGCTACATTATTAAAATGTTACCGAACTGAACTTCAATCCAGTAGGAAAAACCCTAGAAGTACATAAACATGCAAATAATTGGTTTAAGCTCACAGAACTGATACAAGTTTGTAATTATGTAGCTTTTAAAATGTAGYCACTGGAACAGCCACTCGTGCCTAAGTGTTTCTCTCTACAGATAGTATCTGCTGCATAGGGCATGTTAAGCTAAGCTAAACTGAGAGAGATTGTATCTGTCATCCATTAAATAACACAACACTTACATTACCTTTCAAATAGAGTGTTATCCTTCCTGGAATGATGGATATATATATATATATATATATATATATAATGCAAATAAGAACCTATAAATTACACAGAATGCTGAAAATGGCATTATATCAGGTATTCACTGTATCAGTACATGTAGGAAGACAAGAGAACAAGTCAGTATTTGCAGCATTTGGTTTTTCCTTCCTTTTGACACAGAGTCATGTTCACAAGTGACATTATTTAGCAAGCAGGAGAAGTTGGTTTTAATAGAACTTAAATAGTTAAAAGCAATTAAATGGATGAAAGCTTGAAGAGGTTAAAGACTGTGTTCCAACACCAAGTATTTCCTGAAGTCACAAATGCTAGGGAAAAAAAAAAAAAGAAATAAAGACAAAAACAACAAATCCAGAGAAATCACGTGAAATATAAATGAGGATATTCTTTACGTAGGCCTAGAGTAACAAATTCTTTCATGCAGAGGAAACAAAGAAACAAAAGGAATACAGAGTTTCAGTGCTAACAGAAGGTAATGTTTTACCATGATGCCTGCAGTATAAGTGACTTGTCAAATATTTGAGCTTTTTTCTCATGCCTGCAATTTTGATAAAAGGCAAAGCAAATATCTCAATATAAACATGAAAAAAAAGTTTTTAACAGATTTAATACTACAAGTGAACTCTGCTTTGAAATATTAAACAAGTCTTATTCTGGCTGCTAGCTGTCTTTTTATTTATTCTGCATGCAACCAAGTATTACATGTTTAGCTAAAAAAAAGTACAGATAAGCAGAGTGATGCAGACATGTAAACTCATTTTAGCAATCTGCACCTCTAAAAGTCCTGCTCTAAGGATATTCAGAGAAGAATAGAGTACTTAACTCACACAGAGGAGGAAAAAAAAAGTCAAGAAAAAAAGAGATAGTGCATTGATCAAAAGTCAAACAAAATGCATTGGATGTGATTTCAGTTTATAGTAGAGGAAAAAAAAAAAAAAAACAGGATATTCACACAGTAAAAAAAGCCAAAATACCCTGAGAAATTTAAAAAATAAAAACAGAAAACGCCCTCCTCCTTTATTGGTAAGCAAAATCAAGGGGTTAATGCAGTTCAAAAGGACCCTCAAATTACTGAAAAGCATCCTCATTTGGAATGTTCACTGCAGGAAAACCAAAATATCTCTAGCTCTGAACACAGAGCCACCAGAATCCCTGACCTGGTATCTAATAAGCCAAGAAAGCAAAACTAGTAGTACGCATAACAACTAAGGGCAGATAATCGAAGCAAGTTAACTGCTCTGCTTCTGTTTTGATGCACAGACTGCCAGCCAGGCAGTTATAACATTTGCAACCACGCTATTAACTCAGGAGATGGGTTATTTCTAGCCAACTGTGTAACAGGCAGCAATACATTTGCAAGAACACTGACAAGCAGCAGTAGAACAGAAAGAGTTGACAGCCGGGACAATTCAAAACACCAGYGAGACATTCAGACGTACTGCACAAGAAGATGCATCACAGGAAGAGCACATCCCTCAAGAATAAATATTTGAAAGAGTGAAGAAAATCGCAAGTCCTTAAAATTACAGCTATTACAGCATCCCTTGAAGCAGCTAAAGCACATGTGCTGCTTTAGGAGATGGCTTGAAATGATGCACTCTGTAATTTTGTAGTAGATATTCAATAAGTACGGRAAAGAGGACAGTGTGTTAGAGCACATGACATGCTTAGCTTGGAGGACTAAATAAGTACTAAAAGGGGGACAAAAGGAATAGTCTCAGAACTGCCAGAATTCTTTGACATCAACCCTTTCTTTTGCCCTCTCTCTTCTCCTCATACACTATCAACACTCTTTGTAGAAAATACTTTCATATCTGTGAGCATAATTATTACAAACATATGTAGATTACTCGCACCCTGAAAAAATAAGTTTTTTCACGGCAAATGGGTCTTGAATCAAAATGTTCACTTAGCAGAAAGTTTTGTGAAAATTTTGGAAGTGAAAATGGTGAAACTCTGGAAATAGTGGAATTTTTTTTTCTTCATTTTATAGGATGTATACAGGAACAAATACATGAAGACTTATCTGAAAATTATATTTACCTTTAAAGCACAAAATATGCAAGCATCTCCCTGACATACGTGTCCAGTTAAGCCTCTCAAACTTCGCCGAAATATGTCAAGTTGCCACAACACCTATAAAAATAAAGTTACACAAAAAGATAAGGACTGTGTTTGGAAGGGCTTCAAAGTTTAACACTGCAGCATGCAGCAGATTTTTTTTTTTTTTTAATTTTCACATAAAATGGGCAACATAGCACCACGATTACAACAAGAATGACAGTCCTTTTCTATTGGTCTGACAAACTGTGGAGGCAGAAGTGGAAAGTGTGCATTTCCCACTCAAATGTGAATCTTAYTTTTAATTTTATTTTCAAAATAATGGGTTTGGGTGGAAAAAAGTTGAAATACTCTCAATGAAACAATTAGCAAATTAAGTCATGTGCAAAGGTTTCAATATTCTTCTTATAAAATGAAAGAGGGGATTGGAGAGAAAGAACAACACGCCCTCCCCTCAAAAAAAATCAGTTTTCAAAAGGCACAGTGAAACAACAGCTGTTAAATCCAGAAAAATAAAAACCCTACTATAAATATAAATGCTAAAATGAATTAGGATACATTAGACAATGAATGACAGAACCTCAGTTCTGAAGGTTAGACAGAGAAGAACACAGAAAAGAAAAGAATACAAGGAGAAATTGTGACTGTCCTTTTACAAGGAGGAAGCCTATTAGCCATCATTTGCTAAAAATCATTAGGCTGCAAAGGAGTAGGATTGTCCAGAACTATAACTAAAAATGACTTACAGTTTAATTTTAGGGCACCCTAAGGGAAAACAGTAAAACCAAAACAGAATATAGGTCATGCTGTTCCCATTCAATGTAAACCAGCAAATTCACTCTACAGAATCCACTGTTCGTTTTTACTTTAAACATGATATATACACACCATAGTTACACACCATGGTGCGTGCGTGCGTGTGTGTGTGTGTGTGGGTATACATATATATATTTAAATCTAAACCATTTCTAAGGTTTATACTTTTAAAGAGTCTATGCATGCATCTATTAAGCCTTCTGCTCATTTGGCAAATAATTCTGTGCAATTCTCCATCATAGTCAAAAAAGCTATACTATAAATTCAACTGCAGCTGATATTCTGATCCACAAACAAAACTGGAAAGATTAGCATTTCTTCATCACAGAAATGCTTAGATTCCCTGTCAAAAGGAAGGCTACATTGTAAAAGCTCAATTTTTTGTGCTATCACCATCGTACCATTAAAATACACTTTGTAGAACTACAGAGGCAATATTTTCTCATTTACAGTTAATGTATGAAACAATGCGGTGTAAGCAGATATATGGTCAAGAAGTTATTCTGTGATAAACATGCATTTAAACAGTAAAAAGAATCCTAACTCATATTATTTTTGGTATCAAGTGTACTACATATTCTAATCATTCCATTAACTTTCCTAAGATTGGAATACAGGCTTTCAGCTACATCTGCATCTTCTGATATACCCCAAAAAGAGAGATTTGTATGCTAATTCTAAATAAATAAATAAATACATAAATAAATAAAATACGGTATTCAATATAAGTAGCCACCTCACTACCTAGGGCACTAGCTGCCCCAATTTAAAAAGCATTTTATAAACTTTGCAAAGTAATAAGAATATTTACTCTATTTGAGAAAAACATCAGCTTTAAAATGCAGTAAATTTTAAAGTCTTAAGAGCAAGCTTTCAAATATGCAAGTCTTCTTGCTATTGTTGATTCATACATATAAAACAAAATGTTTTTTYCCTTTAAACCATCACCTTTTGCATAACTATAAATATTTATTACCCACAATCAATTCTTTGAAATCAAATGCCAAATCAAGATTACTTCCACACAGTTCTCCTGTTTCTATAATCACCATCAGGATGTTCAGGAACGTCATGTGCAGCTAAGCATGCTATGCTGCCTTATTTAGCATCAATGAACAGTTTAATGAATGGAGAATCAAATTCAAACCATTGAAAACCATGCTATATTTTTCATGATTCACCTAAATTCACATATTGTAATAAAAATAGTTAAAAATCAGCATTCAGTGAGCACTTTTCTTACTACGACCATTTAAGCTGCTACAGAACTAGAGCTGCTTAATAACTGGAACACAGAAGTATGCTCTTACCTGAACAGCACTGTTAAGAAAGCAGCTGTTTTGTCCTGGTTCATTTAATAAGCCTTTTGTGGGGGCCAGGGACAATATACTACCAGGCTGATAAACCTTTCCTAGGTTACCCCCAGGTTTTCTTAAGAATTTTACCCATGCCATTATTTTTTAGAATTTATAATTGCACTATTTACAAATAAATATTTAAGGATATGATGGGTGCAAGGCAAAGAGCAGCTCTGAACTCTTGGCATTCCATTCAGCTCCTGTCACAGTGGCCTTTTCAGGGCATTAAGTCAGTATTCCACGTGCAGTTGATGGCCATCTATCACAAACAGCTTGTCAGTTAAAATAGAGCCACACAAACTTTATAACTCTGGGAGTAAAAGGGGTGTGTGTGGGGAAGAGAATATGGAGTCCACTTAAGTTTAAAATATAAGAACTAAAGTTATTAGAAAAAAAAAGTTCTTTTCAAGAAAGGTCTGTAATAACTGTCTTCTTCCACAGATATCAGTATGTCATTACTGTAAATCATGGGTTGTATTATGTCATGAGTTTAGATGTAGCACAAAAATATAAAATTCCTGAGGGGCATTATACTCCTGCTCTCTCATCTCCTTCTGTCTTCTTTTTCCTTTTAATTATGGCCCATGAAATATATTCCAGTTTAGAAGACTCCATGTTTTATTTCATGCTTTTCCAATGAATCTGTAATAATAAAAAACAGACAGAAAAAAAATTGCATTATCCAAAATTTTAAAAACTTTCTAATCAGAAAACATAGTAAAAAAAAAAAAAACCAAATACACACACACACACACAAAGGCTAATGTACTAAACAAGAAGAAGAGAAGTAACAATTACCACTTAAAAAAAATCCCTCTACAATCAATTGTAATTATATTCCAACTTATTATACATCTATATAAGTTCACAAATTACTTTAAAGTAATATGCAACAGCTTGGAAAAAGACCACATAATACAAATGTATTATTTTAACTTCCAATTCCAACAATGAGAGTCGGCTCTCTAATTGTGCAATGTACAATATAAGGTTGACTTATCACCCAGAATTCCGTCACAGGCACCCACAGAGTCCATACTATAATCTCTGAGCAATGGACCATCCAATCATTTGGGCATTCTCTTACCATTCGTATAAACATTTAAAGTACTTACTTAAAATATTTAAAGTAAAAACACATTTAAAGCACAAAATCAAATGAACTTGAATAAACCAAAGTAATCAAGGTTGAGTATCTGAGAGCTGGAAAAGAAAAAGTGGGCCTTATCTTACAGCCAAGATGTTGGCTTCAACCTCAGGAGTACACAAGATCCTAAAGATATGAAAATTTACTTCAAAAATTTGCACCTTTCCTATAATTTCTTCTGCTGTGTCTGCCTTTTCAGATTGGCCCCCAGCACTAAAAAAAGTAGCAAGTAATTACAATTTTTTGTAGCTGGGCTGCTGTATGAAGTAGAAAGTTATTTTGTCCAGCTCAGAACAACCAATGCCACATTCATGGCAAACAATTCAAGAGCCCTCCGACCTTGCACTGGGCCATCGCAGAACCACAGCACACGACTTCAGAGCTCTCTGCAACATCTCACACCCCTAAATCATCCCCTTTTAATCAAAAGCAACATTGACACTTACTTGAAGTAGCAAAATCAAAAACCCAAAGTCCCTTTTGCCCAGTGCATAATCAGATGATTTTCTGTTTGTTTACTGATCTTACTGTTTCTCACCCGTAACTGATTTGATCTAATCATACTAGAAACAGTTAGTGCGATTTGTGACAGCACTGAGCAAAGCATCTCAAATCTGGCTGAACACTGACCTTGACAATCTCAATAACAGAATATTAATTAATAGAATGTAGAATGAAGCATCAGAGTCAACTGAATTCTTTTTAGGCCTCCAAACCTGAATTCATTACTTAATACATTACTGCACCTCACATCTCCCCAAACTGCTCACTGGTACTTCTCCAGCCTACTCTCTACTGTCTGGATCTCAATGTTAGAACTGCTCAGCCTACAGCAGCCAGAATAGGCAAAGGAAATAGATGGAAAGTAAGGAAAATTGTATAACAATAAAAGCAGAAGTTACTGCAAAACACCTCTGGTCTCTAAACCTGATCTGGGAATAGCTCATGTATACTCAGTTATAAATGCACTGAGGAAGGGTCTGTGAGATTGGTTATAGCTGCTTATCTAAAGGAAATTAAAGACACAGAAGAATAACAAGATTCGTTTTCAGCCAAACCAAGTTAAACATCTGCTCCATAAGTAAGTTTAGCTAGAGATAACAATAAACACAGAATTAGGTTGTTTGGTAAATTATTTTTTTTTAAAGCAAAAGAAATATATTCCTAAGGGCACATCTGTTAAACAGACCACTAAGATCAATACACCAAAAAATATATATATTTTTTTAAATATTTCTCTTTTTCTGAATATGAAATTCAGCTTTGGAACCTGCTGATATTTAGTGCTGATAAAGGTAAAAAAGTCACTATCACTCTTTGTGTTTCCTTCTCTTTATACTTTCAAGCACAATTTCTCCATGTTTCAGAACAACAGATTTACGCATAGATACAGAGGGTGGGAAAAAAAATGAATCTCCCTAGTCAACCAAAGCTTTGCACCTAACTGACTCTGTAGTCACTTTAAATATATTCAACAGTCACAAAGCATGCACATGTTTTGCCCCAGATTTTTATCCCCTATCCTTGAAATGGTGGCACTCTCAACCCAAGGAATAGAAAGTTGCTGAAAAATACTATTTCTTTAGATCTACATAGTTCTCTGGCCAACATGGCCAATCCATCCTAGTCTGTAACAGCTCAATTTTTATTGCCCTTTCTCCACAAATACTCTGTATCAAAGACCATGCTAGTTAGTTGCTTATTCACTATTAAGATGTGTATTGTAGAAGACTCTTCCAGCAGTTGTAATGAGCAACATGGTCAACATCTGTCGTCACAATTTCTCTGAAGAGAGGAAAAAAATCCTAAGTGTTCTGTTTGAAGTTTGAATCATACAAGCATGTCTGTTTAAAAAGGGGGGRAAAAAAGGCAGTATCAAAGAAAACTACTTAATCTATACAGATCCAAGTTATCACCTGTTTAGTGGGAAGACCCTGGCATGGAGGTAACTATAGCTTGGACAATTGTTTTTGCATAGGAAACAGTATTAGTAACTTAACAATTGGTACGCTTGCAATTTCAGCTCAAGTACTACTCACATGCACACTTTGCTTTTAACATCTTTTGCACAAATTTAGCTAAGCTGATGAGAAAGACAAGTAATTACGTGAATATGGGAACTAGCAATGCCCAGTTCCCAATAGATTTGTGCCTCCTAGCTGAGTTGTGCAGCAACTCCGCTCCTTCTGACGAGGTCAAGTCTCTTCCATCCAGCCGCCTATTTTCATGGAATTTGCAAGCACATAATCATCTTTAAGATTTTTATTCCTTCTGTCAAATTGGGAAGAAACTTGCCAATGGGTTCAAAAGTAGTTGACTCTCTATAGTTGAAATTTGCCTGAAGGATCATTATTTGCTTCCTGTTGGTCTCTCTCTCCAAGGAAGCTCCCCATGCTGCACAGGTGAGTAATGGCAACCTTGGTGGTGCCCCATGCTAAGCTTGCTTTTAAGCAACAGTTTTTGGCTCCTGGTGGCAGCTCAGACCTCTATTACTGAGCCTGGTAGCCAACCCAGTGGTCTGACAACTCAGGTAAAGCAATTTCTAAACTGATGAATGGCTTTACAGCTTAGGTACTTAAATATAAGACAACAAAGAATAGGAAGTGCATATATTTATACATTGGAAGGGTGACTAAATGCACTGAAAGGTAACAAGCTTATGGTAAGCAACCACTAGAGTTTTGTGCAATGAACCAGCATTATTAGGACTGTAGTCACTTTTTCCTCCTAATCAGAAAATCATAAAAAAATCCAACATTTACAACTGTAAGAATTAAGGTGCTTCCTGCAGCACTTTAGCTGTCATTTAAATTGCCAGATTTTGTCAACAGAACAAAAAATATTTGTTTGTATCACAACTAGGCTGGAGAATCCCACATGTTTCGCCCTGCAGTTGAAGAGTCAATGATGCTGCTTCTTAAAAATGTAGAAGATTACTGAAATTTGAAGCCAGTAAACTCTTGCTTCCACCAAAAATGGACTGGTCCATAGCTTTTTGGTCACTGCACAAATTCCATTCTCTTTTATTGTTGCATGGAACTGTATATGTCAACAGATCTCATTTGCCGTGAGATACAGTTCATGTTTTCAGTACAGGCACTAAAATGTCAGCCTTACTTTGAGAATACTATTCACTTCAAAAGCCCACGAAGAAATTCGTTTATAAGAATCCAAGTTCTCACTACCTGAAACAACAGCCAGAGCAAAAAAACACCTTACCCATGCTTACCCGTACCAAGCACGCACTTCCAGCACATGCACCATGCAACAAGAACAGCAGTACAAGAGCAAGAAAACCACATTTCCTGCAGCAACCATTTGCCCTGCTCTCGTGAGCCACTGACGTACCCAACCAGCACTCAGTGACACTGCTCTGACACGCTCTTACTGCCTTGCCTCACTCACTGAGATGTTCCCAATAGACAAAAAGCAGAATCCAATGGCCATTTCTTCAAAGAATTCTTCACATCGCTGTGGATTTTAAAACCAATCTTTTGCTGTTTTAAATATCTCTGCTGTCTCTTCTCCAGCCCTAATCCATTTAACTGTCCCTCATAAGCCAAACCATGGCAAGTCATACTACTTGGTAACTTTCCAATATCCTTCAAACCAGAAGAGTAGATGTTATCCCAGTTGGCAGCTTCTGTATAAGCATGCATTCTCACCTTTAAGTTATTCAAAAGTTTAATTCTCCCTGTTTACTTCAAAAGCCAAATAACAACTTCACAGCTCAGTATGYAATCCCTGGAGTGTTAAAACTGGGAGTTGACTTTTGGAAGAGCCACAATGGGAACTCTGAGCAAAGATTTTAAAGAGCACAAATTCCCAGCCAATGACATGGGCCAACATTCATGGTGAGTCATTGTGCAGGGAAAGGCTTGACTAATAACTTCTGCTGTGGAGGGGAGATAGAGGCAGCAGCAAAGAGAAGTCGGCCACATGTCTCAGCTACAAAAAGTTTGGAATCCCAATGCCCCAAAGCAGCAAGTAATATTTGAATTTTGTCATACCAGTGTTTCTTTCTGCTGAATTCAAATATCACTACACGACCTGACAAGAAGATCTCAAAACAATCTAAATGCGATGAACTCTCAAGAGTACTATTGCTGACCTTCCTCCTCCGTGGCGGCTCACAAGTACCTAAGTACCATAAGGAATATTACTAAACAAAGTCACAGACAAAACCATGCTTTATTCTGCATCACATCCTATTCCTTCCTGAACCTTTTTTTTTGGTGCAAAGACTACTCTATATTTTCTGTCATCTCAAAAAAGACATACTATATATTTACCGTGATAATTTACACACTTGCCTTTTTACCCTAGATGAACTCCCTATCCAGACTGTAACCTTAACCTTTCAGATTTCTCTATAGATGCTCAAACATTAGCAAAAGTACAAAGTTTTGTTCCTTTCCAGCAAATGTTTTGATTTAAGTTACCATGGAAGAAAATAGATATCTGAGTGAAATGGAACAGTAGTATAAGCATCATCTCTTACTCCACCCAGGTTTTATGGACCTGCTGGAAAAGGAGCTGTCTACATCTTTAAACATCATACATTTCTTCATGTACAGCATATTTGCACAAAACTGCACAGATCTGCAAGCCTCCTTCACAGTCCACACATCTAGAAACTCTGATCCAGACTTTCCRTCACATTACATCCTCAATACATCACAATTTATCCCCATCCCAACAAGCTCCAACTTTTTTTCCATTTAAACCAAAGTAATGATTTATGATTTTATTAAAAAAAAAGTCTCTGAATGGCTTTATTTCCTATCACTACTTCACTTACTGGGTCAAAGGCCATTAACTGAGAAAAATGACCAAGGACATTGCTACAGAGCTCTTGGAAAGCCTTGTAACTGAAACATGTGATAGTGCTAATACCCTGAAGTTTCACAGGCCTCTTACCCAAACAGATCTGCCCGTAGTACATCATGCACACTCTATGACTGAAAAAATTTCTACACTATCAGGTTTTGGCAGGGAAATTAAGTACATATTTTAGATGTTTTTGCTGTCAGCATCCCACTGGTCGAGGATAATAACTGTTTGGACAAGTAATTTGATAGTAAAACACAACAAGTACAGCTTATGTTGCAACAACTTGTTAGGGGGAAAAAAGCATCATTTGTTAGCTAACTAGGCTAATTTATATTCAGATTATAACATGACCACTCAGAATTTTAATTCTTAAAAAAAGGTCATAGTAAAATAACGATATGAGTCAATGCAATTTGAACGTGTGTTCAGAGGAGGGGGAAGGAGAGACCACATCATTAACTAGGTAAGATGCCACTCACATGATTAGTTCTTTTGCACTTAAAAATAATCCTAGTAACGTCAGTGTTGAGCAAAAGGGGACTTTTTGCGTGCGCAAAACAGAGCATTAAGATATGTAAAAAAAACAGCTTGTTTCGGGAAAGGGGGAAAACGCCTTGCAGAGAGAGAGCAAGAGCTATTTCTTTCGCAAACGCCGCTTTAAAGTCTCTGCGGTGCCAGGTCCGAGCAGGGGCCGGGCCGGGCCGGGCGCCGCTCGCCCGCGCCGCCCCGCAGGGCGCCCGGCTCCGCGGCGGCTCCGCGTCCCTACCTGCCTGCGCCGGCATTTCCTGTCCGGCACCCTTGGAAAACACTCGCTGCTGCGCATGTGACTGCGCGTTAAGCATTAACTTGGCGCTCCTGCCTCGCCGCAGCCCCGCGGCCGCGCGGCCCCGACCCCCGGCAGCGGCTCCCGGCGGCGGCTGCGCCCCAACGGCCGAGCGCGCTCCCCCCCACCCCTCCCCATCCCCGCGGCGGCGGTTACGGCGCGCGGGACGGCAGCCTCTCCTCTCCCCCGCCGCCACCAACGGCCGCGACAGCAGCAGGTGATCGGCGGCGGCTGCCCTCCGGCCCGCCCTCGCACCGGCACCTTGCGCCGTCCCATGGGGGCAACGGCGCCCCCGTCCCTTCCCGTCCCCTCCCGTCTCACCTCGCCCCGCGCCGTCCCGTCCCGTCCCGTCCCGATCGGCTCCCGCGCGCGGCTCCGCTCCCGGCCCCTCCCGGCGGCGACTCCGACTCCGCTCCCGGCCCCGCCCTCACAACAACTTTTGCCGCTCCCTCCTCCCTCCCCTCGCCCCGTCTCGCGCTCCGGGGCGTGCGCGCGCCTGTGCGCGTGCGCGCGCTGGGCACGGGGGAGGAGGGAGGGCCGCCTCGTGCGCGCGCTCCTCTCCGCCACACCCCGGCCCTGCATTGCGCCTGCGCGCAGGGGCAGTGGGGCGGAGGCACGAGCGGGGAGAGATGGCGCCGARAACGCGCCTCGAGCTCCGGCTCTGCCTGGGAGGGGCGGGACGGGGCGGGGCGCGGAGCCACGGGAMGGGCTGGGCCAATCATGGCGCCGCCGCCCACGCAGCCTGCGCGGGAGGCGGTGGTGGAGGGCGGGGCGGCGGCGCGCATGCGCGGTGCGCCGCGGTGCTCTTTGCGGCAAGGTGCCGCTCTGCCTGCGCTTGCACCTCGCCCGGGTGCACGAGGCGGGGGCGGCGGCGCGCGCGCTCAGGGGCGACCGTTTGGGCTGGGGCCAACGGTCTGCGCTCGAGGGACCGTTAGTGCGYGACCGTTGCGAGCGCTGCCAGGACGGGGTAGCCGCGGCTGCTGTCCCCTCACCTGCCCCTGGGCTCTGATTTCCAGCACCTCGCCTAGAGCTTGAGGACGGTATTGTCCTGAGTGCCTGCACCCCAGGCAGCGGTTCGGAAGCAGATCATAAAGTTGTCCGGTTATAGCCCAGGAGGCCTCTGCTGGGGCTCTTCCAAGGCCCTGCGTTTTTGAGTTAATAACTTGTTAAAGCGAGCAGGGCAGTAGTTTTTCCAGCAATTGTTCTCCAGTGCTTGCTTCAGGATATCTGTAAGAGCATGTTGGCTCTGCTTGAGGTGCCCGTGGAATAACAAAGGCACGCAGGTGCTGTTGGAATGAGGGCAGCTTTCTATGCTAAATGCCAAGTATGTGTATTTGAAAAAGGCTTTGCATTTGAGTGTGCTATTACACAGAAATACCATGTTTTATGCAAGCCGAAGAGCTGYTTTAGGGTCATTATTCTGTAGTCTTGTTCTGCACAACTTTTATCTATCTGATTATTTTGTAGACGGAGAAGTATTTCCTTTTGTTATTTCCTAAAGGAATTTTATGTTAATGCATTTTCATTTTTCTAGTTTCTCAAGTACACTTGATATTTCTCTTTCTCTATAATCACTTTCTTGGATAAACTTGTAGATTTCATTAACAGATTATAGTTCTACATTAGTAATGATATACTGCACCCAACATTTGCATTAGCTAACAGTCCTTAGCGCATATGTCTGAGCACAACTTTATATATATATATATATATGAGCACAACTTTATATATATATATATATATTTTAATAGTCATTTTTGTAACGGAGAAGTGTTTGTGCATCTGAAAACTATTTGTTTACCAATGGCATCTTGTACAAGAGCAAAATACTCCTTCCTTTAACCTTCTCTTCCTTTATCTTCTTTAGATCATCAAGATGACACTAAAATTTCATTCTAGAAAGTACGGCACAGAGAACAAGGCACTACAGCAAGTAAGTTCGTTGTTTATTTTACCTGCTTTCATAAGAAAAATCACTGCAATGAGATTAGTTTCTTTTTGGTAATATATATWTTTTTTCCATTATATTGCTCAGAAGACCACAAATAGCAAACRCTATTTTCTCTATGGTTCAATGTTTTAAATACTAGGTAGCTAAAAGCATCTGTGAATCCTGAATCAGGATTCCAGCCTCATTTTGATAATGACGTCAATATGATATTTTTGCTTACCTCTTGCATACACTCTGCTTTCTTGTTTGCCTTTGCCCTTTCTTCATTACAGAGTTGTTATCGCTACTAATCTTTTAGAAGCCCCTTACAACTTTCACCTTTTTTTTTTTTAATTTATTATTATTTTTTTTATTTCGGACTTCAGAGGAAATGTAGTCTGTGGGCTTTAGTTAAGGCATATTTTAAGATTCTCTACCAAAGAGGCTTCCACACAGTTCCACACAGTTTGTACAGAGATTGACACAGGTGTGGCACAGGAAGTCTTAAATGAGCTAAAAGAAGGATTTTAAAATTAGAATAAGTGGCGCAAGCTCAAAACAATGCTACAAGGGTAAATGATTTCCTGTGGTAGTTATTGTCAGGACAGGGTTGGTGCTTTGTGTGATTGTTGGGATGCAGCAGACTGCTTTCATCCTTTTAGAATTAGAGTGTATGTGATATTTGGTAGTCTTAATAACAGAAGGTGACTAACCTGGAAAGCTCACATTGAGAAGTTGTTAAATCTGGGGGACAGAGTCCAGAGACAAGTGAAATAGACAGTTACATTTCTACCCATTAATCTAACCACTTAACCAGGCTGCAGGTTAAGAGGTCAATATTAATATTTTCAGAAGGAAGGAAGATGTAACCTTGGTTGTGGGAGAGAGGGGTGGAGGAGGCAGTGCTAAAGCACAGCTGGAGAGGAGTGGGAGGAGAACAGCGTATAGCCAAGGGATTGKTTTTTTCACATGCCAAATCCAGGGCAAAATATGTTATGGAAAGTTAGTTGTGGAAAGAAAACATAAATGCTTTACTTAAAAGAATTAGGAGATACTGAAAGATTGAAAAATAATTGCATTAAATAATCTTTATTAAAGCTACAAACATCATACTTTTTTTTTTTTGGTGTGTGTGTGTGTGAGCTGAAAATTTGCACAATTGTTCACAGCTGCAAGCAAAATGAGGTATTTCTGCATTAGAACTTTGGTGTTCCAGTATTGTTTGTACTGTTCTGCKACTGACTTTAAATATGGATGTTACTCAGAAATAGCTTTTAGTTGCATGTATTCTTAGACATGAGATGTATATAAAAACACTTCCATACCTGTACCTGTCCTGGAACACCTCTTTGATGTTCGCTAACATTTACAGTATCTTCACAGTTTGTTGAGTGGTGTTATTTATTTATTTATTTTAAATAGTGTTACTATTTTGTACATGTTCAAGTGATTCATAAATAAATTATACCTATTGTAAAACTCAGAAGTAAATTAAATCTTGATTTAATAAAATAAGGAAAATGATATTTTATTGATTAGCTAATTTATTTTGGCATTGCTACTCTTGCTCTTTTTTATTGCATATAATCACAAGATCAACTTTATATAAACAGAAACTGTGCCTGTACTCACTGGTGGGGGAAAAATAAATCAGCTAGTGATATAAATATTGAGATTGAGGCATAAAACTTGACAAAAATGCTGCAGCAAGTCATTCTTCTAGAAGACCCAGCAATATGCAAGAAATTAGAGACATGGGCATTATTATATAGAGACTGAAGCTGGATCCAGTTTGATTGAATAAGGTAAAGGTTATCTAAGTTGCTCTTTTCCTAAACTACTTAAGAATATGTCATTTTCCTTGTTCCCTTATCTTTCTGGTACTGTCAAATTATATTTTTGGATCTATCTGCACTGAAAGGAAGGAGAAAAATATTTACAAATCCTAGGCTCCTAGATAGTCTTTTTTCTTTAGGAGCAGTGGTTTCTCAATGAACACCAGTCAGGAAAATGCTCTGTAGCCAATGAGGAAGTTAGAGCGGTACAGAGGAAGACCACAATGGAGTAAAAGACCCAGAGAAAGCATAAATAAAATGTGTGGGTTTTTTAAATTTTTTTTTTAATTTAGCAACACATGATTTTTTTTTTTTTGGTCATTTTTATTTTAATCTTTAAAATTTTTTTGTTCAGGGTTTTTTTTTTTTTTTTTTTTCCTCCTCTCCTCTCATCTGTATTATTTTAAAAGGATTCAAAACAAGTAAAAATAGGTGAAAAATCCTTTCAGCTTTCAGTAGGTTAGGTAAAAATATGTTCTTTAATGGGTTAATCTTACCTAGCTATGTGCCACTGCTCCATCTTCCCCTACTATGAGTACCTATGCCCTTAAGCCTTTTTAAAAAAATATAACCTCTAGCAAGCAGTCACACGACACTTAGTCATCTGATTGCTCTTATTCCCACATCCTGTATAGTGCCTAAAATTTATACACATATCCACATCCATTTTCTTCAAAATAGCCTAGTGGAACATTTTTCTAAAGCCTCTTTCAGCCAGTCACGTGATGTGCAGTCAGCTAGTTTTTCACTCTGCCGTGAATCCTATCTGGAGCAATATGTTTAAAAAGTATTTTACTCTTAGTAGCCTTTCTGGCTGTACTTCTGCTTGTGGACATGCTGCAGCTGACTTTGAATACTGGAAGTGTGAGAAAAGAGAGAGAGAGGAAAAAAAAAACAGAAAAAAAAGAGGAAAAAATTAGGAAGAGGACTTGAGAAGGAGGGTATGAAATAGCAGTGTGAAAAGTAAAGGTGAAAGTTAAGAATAACATATATAACAAGTTTTAATATCGATACTAAGATGGGAAGGAAGGAAAAGGAAAATCATGACATTGGAAGTAATGAATAAAAGAATAAAATTAAAACTATCTGAAAAAAGTCTCTYTTAGTCCATAAAGCTCCGAGTTAAGCCTTGGAAGCAATGAGAATGGCAAGATCACTTGCTTTATTTTAGCTAGATTAGAGTKGAAAGGAGAGAAGAGGGGGGGAAGGGGAAAAACAAAAAAAACACTTTACAAAAATGGAAGACTGCAAGAGGGTTTAAGTAAAGGAGCATGATGAGTTTCTCAGGGGTAGCCTGCTGGGCTTCTTTTTCATGAACTAAGGCTCTAAACTTCTAAGCACTTCTGAGGAAATTTCTTTTCCTTACTCTGAATTAGCCATGAACACTTTCACAGAATATAAACAACTTTTTTTTTTTTTTTTTAAACCTTTCTTTCAGCACAGGAGCAAATAGAATATATTTTGCTTTTGCACTTATTCATTGTACGCTACCCTGACTCTAGTTTCTTTCTTGGTGTTTTTTTCTACTGTTAAAGTGTTCAACAGGGTGCCAAAAGGATTTCACTGAAGTCATCTAGAGTTTCACCCTGATAGTAAAAACATGGGTTTTCTTTCTTGTCCAGACCTATTGATGATAATGGACCTGGAACAAGATCTGTGTGTGCAGGCCTGTGTTTGTCATGTAGGAATGAAGGAAAAGGTGGGGGTTGTATGAATATTGCAAGTGAATGATTTTCCTCCTGAATAATCCATTTTTAAGTCTGGTAATCTACTTCTCTGGAATAACAATGTAGCCAAAATCCTTTCCTATTTTAGGCTGTTACATTTTTGAAATGCGAAACAACATAAGTATGAGAACCTTCTGTGCATGTATTGTATATCAGGTACTTTTTTGAATAACTGTCATCATCTGGGTACTATACCTAACATAAAGTTTAGTCATGATCTTTTATTTTTTGTCTTGCATCAGTCCAGTCTTGCAGCCCTTCCAAATTTGTCATTCTGGTTTGTTGCTTCCTATGGGGATATAGGCCAATGGGAATGGGTGCCTGCAGCAGAAAAGGAAAATGATGAGAGAATGCAGTTTGTTTAAACCTATTTCTCATTTACTTGGACCACCTCTGTGATTGAATTAAATTTTCATGAAAAATACCATGAAGAGAAAACAAGACAAAAAGTCAGTGTTAAGTCAATGTAAAATTGAGTTATGTAATGGTTAAGATTACTTAATGTATACTCTCATCTCATTAAAAGCTGAAAGTACATGCAGTATCTCAGATACTGGAATACAAACCCATTTGGAAATATTTCAAAATCTGAATTTGCTGTGTCTTTGTCCTGCATGAGAAAAGAAATGTAACATTATTTGATTTAATACAAGTTGAGTTCATATTATCAGTGTATACTGAGGCAAACTTTAGCAGGGTTGTGTTTTGGAACAGGCTGATTTTAAAAGTAGAAATTAAGTGCTCTCAGTGCTTACAGCATCTCAAAACCTTGTTTAGGTAAAATGCTTTATTGTGGATAGGGTGTTTTAGCTTTTGCTAATACTTTTTTTCCCCCCTCCCTTACAAATTCTATGGGGGGAAATATTAAAGTAGCAAATAGGATAGAGTAACTTTTTTTCTATAGGTAGATTGTCCCTTCTGTGATGCTGTAACTGCTTTGTCTAGACAAGTGAAACTACTAAACTGAAAGCAAGAGAAATTAGTAAATTAACTCTTAAGTGGGTAAAAAAAGTACTTAAAGGGGAAGGGTGATAATGTGTTTTGAGGAATTGGATAGAGTATAGAATTATTAGAGCTTTGTCAAAAGATTGATATTGGAAATGTTATTTTTTAATAATTTCATGAGTAATCTTGGCAAAAAAGTAGAAACTGCTAATGAAATACATTGGTATCAGAAAGTTGGATAACTTTCCCTGCACAGTGAATGTCCCACAGGAGTAACTGATTTCTTTACTGAGGAGTAAAGAAATAAAATAAGATTAAATATAATAATGCAAAGTGCAAGGTCACATAGAGACTAATAGCAAAGACTTTCTGATATAAGCTCAGGACTTGTCAGACGAATGAGGAGAGAATTTGAAAGAACTAGGTGTGTAAGCCAGTGAAAGRTTGGCTGGGAGCCACCAATCTGACGTTTCAGTAGGAAAGGTAAATTCAGCCT